AGAAATGCACCAGTCCTTGTGTTTGGACTATTCGCTGCACAGAAATGCACCAGTCCTTGTGTTTGGACTATTCGCTGCACAGAAATGCACCAGTCTTTGTGTTTGCAGTCCAGGCTGTCTGCTGCTGAACACAGCACAGCAGAGCGGATTTGCACCAGGTCGGACCTCCCTGCAGTCCTCCTCTTGGTTTATTGTGCACACACCCATTTTCTTCGTCAATGTATGTACACCTTTTTTGGTATCATTTGATTCTCTCCTCCACCCCCCGCCCCCCTTTCCTTGCAGGGGTTAGCTGTAGTCMGTAAGGATGAGCGGATCCCAGGGACCAAAGAGAACGCTGGAGGCGTTGGGAGGAAGAAGAGGGGGAGCCTGAAGGTCCGCACAACACTTGGAGCGGAGCAGGGACTACTCGTGCATCCCTCTGCAGTAGCTGGGGACTGCCAGCTCTGAAATGGCTCAAGTTGCAGAGCTGCCCGGGGCGCTAAGACCCGCCTGTCCCTGTTCTCAGGAGAACAAGCCGCCCCTGCTGCTGTGAGGTGTCTCGGGAGACTCTTCCGAACTTTGCTCAGGGCTGACGGATTTCAAAGGAATTTCACTTTACGTGGAAGTTCTTTAAAATAATCTCTAAACKCAGCTGGTTGTAGCTGTGCCCGCGCCAGTGGCAGAGGTCTGTGCGCTCTGCCGCGGACAGTCCGGCACCCGCTCCTCCGTTCGGCCGTGCCCGCCGCAGCCGCGGGACCCCGGGAGCAGCTCCGGGCGCAGCGGGTCCGGTCCCCCCGCCGGCAGGCAGCACCCCCGGCCGCACAGCGGGCAGCGAGACCCGGGACAGGCGCGGCGGGTCCGGTCCCATAGCGGAGCGSTCTGAGGGGAGCGGGGATGGCTGAGGGGCCGCGTCCCGCTGGAGCCGCGGGCAGCACGTCGGACAGCGGCCGGGCCCGAGCGCGCCTGCGCGGCGGGGGGCGGGGGAGGGAGGTGTGCGCGCGCCGCCGCCCGCCCGCCCCCGCGCTGAGGTGTCGAGGCGGTGTCGAGGCGGTGCCCGTGTGTCCCTCACGGCGGCGGCCGGAGCCGCACGGGCGGTGCCGCTGCGAGGACCCGCCCGCCCCCGCGCTGAGGTGCTGCCGTGTCCCTCACGGCGGCGGCAGGAGCCGCACGGGCGGCGCCGCTGCGGGGACCCGCCCGCGCCGCTCCGCCNGCCCGCGCCCCCCGGGCGCAGCCCGCCGGCCCTGAGGGCTGTGCCGCGCTGCCCCCCGCCCCGGGGCGCTATGAGCCATGAAGCCGCCCGGCAGCATCTCCCTGCGGCAGGCTGGCTGCCACGGCCGCCGCCGCCCCGCGCTCCTGCCGCTCCTCGGCCGCCTCGTCTGCCTCGTCTCGCTGCTCCTGCTCCTCCATGGCTCCTGTTCCCGGGCCGGCGCGGCTGCAGCGGCCGCCGGTGGGTATGGCGGGGTGCGGATGCGTGTGCCTGAGGTGTCTGCGGCCCCTCGGCACCCGTCCCCGCGATAAACCCCGGCAACATCCATTTAYCCTCAACCATTCCTTCCTCCTTTCCCGCTCCCAGATTTGTGTACGTGTCTGTGTCGGCGTGTGCATAAGTGGGGCTCAGTTAATATTTCCTTGTTTTGCTTGCTTACACAAAAGAGAGGTACGTGCGGATCCGGTGCTGCAGTGTGTTGGGTAGGGATGCTGTGGGTGGAATAGACGCCGGTGAGGGATGCGACACAAAAACCTTCGGTGGGCTTTCTATGTGTCACGGTGCGTGTGGACGGGGATCCGCTAATTTGYCTTCTTGGGGCGGATTTTCGTGCGTGCTTTGTGGTTTGTTTGCTCTTGGTTGCATAAAGGTTACATGTGCAATGCTGTGAATGCTGTCTCTCTGTGCATCATGTTATTATTGTTAGTACATTGCCGTTACATTGTAATATCGTTATGTTGTTACATCGCGTTGATTGACTGTGTTGAAATTTTAATGAGGAAAGATACAGGGTTTCATTTGAAAAGCTACTACTGAAGAAAAGGGCTCTTGTCAAAGTTAAAAGAAGTAGAAATCAATTCGCTTTACATAATAGGAAGYTTGGCATTCAGTGCACATGGACTTTGAATTCAGTGTGTGTTAGGAAAATGGGGAGTATTCTTAGCTTTTTGTAGATTCTTTTTTTTTGTCAAAGAATTTAGCTATCGAAGAGGGTGTAGGGGGTAACTATATATCCATTKTTTTTTTTCTTCCTGAAGGTTGAGAGGTATTAAAATATTTATAATCTATGACTGCATAAGAAAATGTATGTGCAATTACATAAATAATGTTCTTTCTGAAACCATTTTATGTGTGAAAAATGAATCAAATCTAGCTCAATGAGTAAGCTATCTGTTTGTTTGCTTGAGTGATTAGTAAAATGTTAGAAAACTGCAAGCTAATATGTAGCTTTTTCATAGAAATAAACACATTCTGCCATGGAATTTATGGCTGGCATATCTTTCTTCCCCAGGCCTGCATTGGAATGAAACAGCAAGCGGTATAGAGGAAGTTCTGGCAGATGAAGAGAATACATTTCAAAAGAGTAACAGCAGTAACAGTAAAAATAACAGCTACAGCAATGCAATCCAGAAAGAAATCACACTGCCTTCAAGATTAATCTATTACATCAACAGAGACTCTGAGACCCCTTACCATGTCCTGGATACCAGGGCAAGGCACCAGCAGAAACTTGACAAGGTAGGGTAAAAAGGGGTTCATTTGCAGAATTTTCAATGAAGTGATATGTGATGTGAAACTGTGTGTTTTAATCTGTAGATATTTAAGGCTTGATGGTGGTCCCTATCACATTTTTAAGAATTCAAGGAGTACATGTAATTAAACAAGAATGTAATTTCCCTTGTGYTAACTTAAAAATAATTATTTTGAATTTGAGGATGGTTCAGAAACTGAACTGTAGATAAAATAAATGAGAATTAGGCAAAGTTGACTTGACTAATCAGCCTAGATTCTGGTGTCTTCACTTATTGTACACCATCATAAACAAAATATTTCTTCCAAAATAGCTCTTGACCGCAGAAGTATCTGCATAGGGAGCTTCTTTGGAATCCTAAACCTGCAGCATGAGTTACTTAGCTTTGAGTGTATGTTAGCTTTTAGTAATAAATGCAGCACTCATTTCCTACCACTATATGGCCATTGAAGACCATTGTAAAGTGTTACCATTTTTTGTTAAATAGTACCTGCATTCTTCATTTTTAATGACAAGATCTAATATTCCATTTTGTATGGATGGAGCTAGTAAGTTGCTTGTTTGGGGTTTTTTTCCCTGTAATTGAGCAAACTTTGGTTTTGTGGAATAACTTCATAAGGAAATAAACATGTCTAAACTATATCATTTATGAACCTTAAAATTTATTTCATCCTATTTTAATAAATATTAAAAAAAAAAAATTAGTCCTACAGGGAAGGTGAAGATGGTTTGAATATAAAGAGATTACCATGGTAGGGAAGAGACAACAAAGCAGATCAGTTTGTATGATATTACTGAAGCTATAATGTAGTTCCTACCTATTGAATAGCCTTTCTCTTGAAATTTTGGACAGTGAATTTAATACTTGGCATATGTGCTTATGTTGATACTAATTATGTGCCCTTTCAGGTGTGGAATTAATATGAATACACWGAATAATCTTTGAAAAAAAAAGAGTTGAGATAGCTGTAGAGTCTTGGTGTTTTAATAGGAAGAAAGGTTGCTTCCTATCTGATTGAACATGGCATGTGCCTTTGGATGCATCTCAATACACCAATGTTATGGTTGGCTCAGGAAAGCTTTTTGACTGTTGGAAACTAGAGCTACTTAAGAGAGCACTACATTCAGAACTAATACTCTTCSAGGCAAGACCATTCTTTTAAATGAACTTAAAACACTAGGGTCTTGCTGTTCCCCTTTTTCAAGAGGGGAGTGGGAARAAAGGGATTTACAAGTGCTTGCAGACTTGCCATTGAGAATCATGCTTCCTCCAGGTTACTCTACGTGTCTTTTTCCTTGGAAATCTATAGAGGACAAKGTCCACTAAACTCTTTGCTTGCCCAGCATTGCCCACAAGAATGTTGCTGTTGCTGCCTATCTTTCCTATGCCCTACCTTGKATCTAGATGCTGGAGTAAAGCTCTGCAGAAATCAGTGCTGACAGAATTGGTATCGATTTCCTTGGGCATGCTTGCTGCTGAGTATTGTGTAAAGTGGATCTTCTTTCTACTCACTGTGTCCCTTTTAAGCATAGGGAGTGCTAATGCTGCAGTTTTTSCCACAAAAGGGTTCCTTAATCCCGGGCCTTCATGGTTTATGTTAACTTCATTCTTCTGGCATGAAATTTCTATTGTTTTATATTTATTGTTTATATTTAATTGAGGGAAAGAGTTGATTATGTTCACTGTCTGGATAGATTTTTGTATGTCTTGATTCCAGATCATCATACATGACAACTTCACCCCAATTTGCATCTTGCGTCTTCCTTACATGAAGCAATTTCTTTGCCCTTTTCTTCTACTCTACCAGTAGCTAAAATATTTGTTCTCATATTATTTTGTTCTGTTGAACATTTGCTATAATCTTCTCTGTAAAGCAATATTTGGGGGCAGGGATAAGTCTGGRAGGTGTAAAAGGAAAACAACTCAAMCAACCCATAAACAAAACAATGCAATTGATTGTGAAAGATACAAAAGTGTTGGTTTTGACTTAGGAGGGAGAATTTTTTCCGGAACTGACTTTTATCCTCCCCCAGAATTAAAAAAAAATGCTATATTGTAACAAATCCTATTTGTGAGATTTTGAKGTCTCCTACATTGGTAATAAACAAAAGTAGCTTTAAAAGCCTTTATAGTTAGGTAAAGAAAGATATCTGTATTTAGGGGGTTTTTTTGATACCATGTGGAAAGATATGATGGCCTTATATATTAATACAATGGAAAAAGTTGGGGGAAAAAGAATCTTTGTTCTTTTCCTGATCTTGGAACTGTGTATCCTTTAATCTGTATTTTCTTCTCAGCCTTAATATTCCATTTATAGGCATATGATGTAGATATAGTCACTAACTATTGATCATATGCAGTGTACTCCTTTCTATGGAAGTTCACCGTAATGGTCAGAATAATGTAATATGGCCAGTTTGTGGGATTAGGCCTGAATGCTTCAGAAATGCTGAGTCACTATCAGGAGAGGGTGAGACTAGAGAAATGGTGTGCATGTGGGAAGAAAGAGGTAAAGCTAGGGAAATATAATTATATACAATTATTTAAAATATTTTTTAAGGTCATGACCTWAAAGTAAGTGTCTGCCATCTTTCTTATAAAATGTTGGTAGAAATTAAGCACCTGAGAAAAAACAGTGTACCAGGGAATCAAAAATCTAAATAATAAGTTATTTTCTTAGCACTGATTCTCTCTGTTTTGGTGAAATATCATCATATTGAGAAGGTGTATGTGATCAAAACTGTTGGTAGGCCCTCTCCCAYTCCTTCTTCTTGGAAAAAGCTTTTTTTCACTGTTAAAAGAAAGAAATGTTCACCATGGTTTTGACAAAATGATCTRTATTCTCCAAGAGGGACAGAGTGCTACTGTTTACTCTGCTTTAGCTTTTTACTCTAAAAAAAACAGATTTTAAATACCTGATGCTTGAAGACTCTAAAATCTGTATACCTGTTTCCTCATAGTCAAATTAAGGCTAGCTGGTTTTGAGTTCTTCTGAAATTATTTTTTAGTGCAAAATGCTCAAAAATGAGCATCTATTTATAAAAACGTTCTGAAGAAGCTCATGGGAATCCTTAAACTTGATGAAGAGGTTTGAGTCACCTGTGCTCTGTCTTTTTGAACTTCTGCAGGTGGAGRTAGTGTTTTGAATGAGCTGGTAATCTCTTTATTGAACCAGATGACTGCTTTGGTTTATTTTCACAGACTACATACACAAGATTTTTAGGACCTAGCAGGAAGACTACATGAGGCACAACTTGGCACAAAAGGCTAGGGACAAGTCCTTATAGTGGCCAGCAGTGGGAAAAATCCTGCAATGCAAGGTGTGATTTGAAGATAATAGGATTGCTGGAGAAACACAGCTTAGTGCAACCTTAGGAAATTTAAAGTGGAAAATAGCTTGAACTGGATGCATATGAAGAAAGACTGTATCTGCTGGATAGTTTCTGAATCATAAGTTTTCAGTAGCTGTAAAGAAGCCATGCCTTCATGCAGAATTCTAAGCTGTTAGTGTGATTTTGGGGAGGAGAGAGGTGTTAAGAAAACTGTTTTGCAGACCCTAAAGAGGAAAAAATAATACAGAGGAGTACTTTTGACTATGAGGATGTTCCACCTTCCCCCARAAAGTTTGATTTATTTTGAGATATTTTTCAAGGGGTGGAACTCCAGGTGTTTCTGGTCGGGTCAGCTGTTTGTCATTTATATAAAGAAAATACTCCTGCCAGGTGAATGCAATACTTTTTGCTATGTTGCCTTGCTTTAAAGGTTGAGATACAGTGCTGTCTCAATCTTCTATGTAATTTTAGTATGAAGCATATGAAAGCTAAGCAGGAAAGCATCCTTAAGATGGAAGGAAAACAGCTCTTTACCATAAAAAAGGAAGTGATATTGAGGAAAAATTAGTTTGGTTTTTTTTTGGGTTTTTTTTTTTTTTTGTTTTTTTTTTTTTTTGTGAAAGACAAAAGGTCATAAATGGTGAACTCTGAAGAGGTGGTGCCATGTGAATTCCTACAAAAATCCAAATAAAAATTCTGTTCACAAGTTAGTCTTTCCTTATTGCCTGCTTTAGAGAGGTCTTTACTTTTAATTCCCATGTAATGAAATGGGGTCAAAATAATGAATGAAGTTCRTGTGACTTATATATTAGACTGTTGAAGAATCTTTGTAGTATTTCAGTTGGCTTTGCTTTCTTTTTTTCCAAGATTTTTCTGTGGTGCAGCTTCAGTTTATTTGTAAATGGAAGATTGCATGTACTTTGGTTTTTTTTCTATTCTATATCGAATTTATATTAATGCAAAAGGCTTATCCTGACTCTGTGTCCTCAGTAGTTACTAAGGAGGATTGAAATTGATCTTCCTCTCTTTGATTTCTGAGAACAGGAGATTTTCCTTATGCCAGCAAAGATCTAGATCTTTGTTTCTTAGTTGAAATGTGGCTCATGTTTTTTCTACAACTTTTTAAATTCCTTTTTAAATATATATTTCTGGGTCTTCTCATGAGCATAACCTTTAAAAGGCTTCAGTTCCTGAGTGTTAGGCAGCACAACACTTGCACTTGTTATGCCTTGTTCAGAAATAAAAATGACGTTTATAGGTTTTTTAGCATTTGTGGGAAGCAGGGTACTGCAGGAAAGTGACCCTAGATAAGGATGCACTACTTTGTAGAGTCTGATAAAAAAAAAGCCTCAAGAGGGATATGGCTTTGGAGGCCAGTGTTAGTGCAGAAGGGTACATAAGCATTGTCATGTTGAGAGAGAATTCTGCCCCTAGGTTAGATGAACAGTAGATTTCTTCCAGAGACAGAGTTGGATTTTTGTCCACTTGCCCACAACCTTTCTTTCAAAGWACAGTCTTTAAGGGTTGGGGTTCAAGTGCATTAAAGTAACTCAATTGTTAWCAATAGAGTAACAATATCTCTATTGTTAAAGACCAGAGACAAGCCATTAACTGGAGGATTTCTGAACTGTGATGTATTTTAAAAGTAAGTTTTCACATGCTGCTGGCACATTCATGTGTTCTGTTTCAATATGAAATGCTTTATTTTGAAGGAGTAGTGGAAGGTTTTCTTGGCAGATGTGCCACGTAGCAGAGGTAACCAAATGCTAAAAGAAGGATGGTTTCTATATGGGGTCTGAGAATAGGCCAACAAGCTAAAAGCAGGATAAAGAGCTAATAYAGAGTAAAGCACATGGATTTGTGACAAAACTTATGCTATTATTAGAATGAAGGTCTAGGGCAAAAAATGTTTTAATGGTGTAAAATCCATCAAAATCTGACTTACATTTCTATTTCCATACTGGGAGTGATGAAACCCCTTGCTCAGCTTCTAAACTGAGTGAGGTAGCTTTTGACCATTATTTTAGTCAGCAGAACTGCATGCAAAAATAGATTTCCAAAAGCAATAAGCTTGTCCTTTGGAAATTGTATCTGTTGGAATATAGCAAAAGACCCATTGCTACCATCAGTCAGTTAAATAACGCTGTTACTTTTGTTTAAAGACTCGGTATTTTTGAAGGGATAACACATTATTGCATTTGGCATAGTTTTACTGGGAAGAACATAAGACCAATATACTAGTTTACTTTTGATGATGATGGTTGTAAATTTCCTGAAAGTCTGTAAAAAGTGAATTATGGACAAATGATGCCCAAATGTGATAATGAAAACCATGAAAGCTTTCAAGTTGTGACATAGATCAGTATTCCAGTTACAGCCAGTTTTATCCTGAAACTTACTGTAAACTAATGACTGATTTGAAAGAAACTGGAGTTCTTTATATATATGGATTTTTAGCTCAGAAAAACCCTGAGAACTACTTCTTTGCATAAGTAGCTACAGCACTCTTAGAAAGTCCCCAGTATGAAGAATCTCTTATTACAGTGACTACACCAGTAATCTGAGCTTCCAGAACAGTGAAATAAAATACTTTTTTTTTTAATTGTCTAAAATTTGAGTGTGAGGGCAGGAAGAACTTGAAAGACTCAGACCTTTCTTCAACCCWCATCTCTATAGATCATCAGTAAGTCTTTGCTGAAGAAAAACTTAATACAATTTTGGAGCTTTGCCATTTGAATGGGTTATAACTGTCAAAGCAGGGACCTCTGCAGAGGTTTTTRGATGGTAAGCAATCATGGACAAAGGAACTTGGTCTCCACTTTATGTAAATAAGGAATACTTATGCAGATGTGAGTATTCATGCAAGTTGTGCGAGAAGATGATATTTAGTATTTTTCCTGTGAAAATATATTTATGCTTCAAAATATGTGCTGATCTACATYGTATTCTTATTTGAATTTTTATTTCTGTGCCAATGAGAAGAACACCATATTTCAGATTATACTTCGGGTGTTGTATTACACAGTAGCTGATGAGAGAATACAGTGAAATTATAAGGTGGATAACAGAATTGCACAGATATTTTTCTGAAATATTTCCTCCCATCRTTGTGGTACATGATGTTTGTAATGCCTAAAACACCTGGTGATAACTCACTGGTAGTTTTGTATGCTAACATATTGCAGGAAAATAATCAGTTTCAGSATTAGATATTTAGTCTCATTACCTTCAGCTGCCTTCTGGCTTATGGCTTTCATGGGTGGTTATGTATTGTTAAACTAGCTGAAGAGAATCTGTATTTGCTGTAGCTGTAGTGTATTGCATTCSCCTGAATTCAAAACAGTGTTTTTGCTAACTGCAGGGATTTAAAATCCAGTGTTCTTTTTATAACCAATGGCTTTTCGCTGAGTTTGGTGGAGAACATGCCCTACTGCAGGGCATCAAATTAGTGTCAGCTGCTTTGCAGCAATTGCTTTTGTGTACAGGCTACATCTGTTAGTGAGTCACACTAATAGATAGCAAGTAGTGGTTTTATACCCATAAGTAGTTGTTTTCAGAAATAGCAATGTTGCTGCATCTAATTCTAMAGGATGAAGGGGTTTTATGATACTGCAGACCAAGAATGTAAATTGCTTTTAATAATTTGAAATTGCAGAAAGATTAAGAATGGTCAATGGCTTAGAAACTGGAAGGGTGATACACAGGTATCACTGAATGGACTGGATTGGACAGTAGAAAAGCTATAGCACATCAGACTAATCATCCATCTAGCTATCCCTAAAGTCAGGAGCTGATACCTAGAGAGAGATTTCTTATGTTTCAGAATGAACTTAATGGAATAGTTCATGCTCTTGTGAAWTTTCCAGATAAATATATGCCACAATCAAGATTTCAATAATAACGAAGACACATCATTTTAGGTAAATGTTACATGTGAWGGAGACTCAAAGCAGAAGCTTGTGAACTCTGAAGTGGAATCTTTATGGCATAAAACTAATTGCAGGTCTTTCCATGCAACAAATTTTCATGCTTTAAAAACAAGTTAATGCATTTGTATTTTGAAAACACAATGAGGYTTTTGTCATGGACAGGTACTTGGAAAGCTCCTTGTGACACTTGTTCCTTGATTTCACTCTGAAAAAAAAATGGAGTGGGGGCTGAAAGTCTCTTACTAGGCATGTATTTAACCTGACATTCTCTACTCTTTTTTTTTTTTTTAATATATATACTGGCAGATTCTCTCTGATCATGCCACCTGTTTGCCTTTATACTTAAACTGTTTTGCTCTGCTGATTCAGAGCAGCTATAAACTCAGTCCTGCCAGGCCAGTGTTAACAAATTGGCAAACTGGTGAGACAACAATAAACATTTACCAAAAAATAGAACAGAGAGAAAGCTCAGTACTGGTTTRCTTCTGTGTTATTTTAGGTATCATCTGGGAATATTATTTTTTTTTATTCTTGTTCAGAGTCATTGTATTTTTTTAATAAACAAAACCAGGCTTTAGCTAAGATTGTTTAATGACATTAAAGCTATTTAAAATATTTTGTAAGTGCATGACTTTTTTTAAAAACAGAAGCTTGACAACAAAGCTCTGTGACCCTATTGAAAGGGAAATGGTAATTCTGGCCGTAAAGAATGATTAAGCAATACAGGAAATGTCACAGATGATTTTAGTCACAATAGCAACTTAAAAAAAATTATTTTGAAGAATTTTCTGTAAGATGATGAATAACTTTGCTGAGAAAGAAGATGAAAATCGGTGCTGCTTTGTATAGTGCCAGAATGGAAGACAAATATAAAGAGCTTATCCTTTGTGGAGAAATTTCTAAAGGAGAACAGAACTGTGGGCCGTAAAAGCTAACCTTCATAATATTTAAGTTAAGCTGTAAACTAGCTTGAACTTTATATGTTTTCTGTGACTTACCTGAAGATTAATCATGGTGTTTAACAAAAACCAGGAGTTTTTTAGTCTTTTGTYTAAAGGGCTTAGTCATAATATTCCAACTTTGTGTAATTATTAATRCTGTATCAAATTGGTGTATAAGTAAGCATGATTTGATTAGAACATTATCAGRAAAGAGACATGAAATTCAGATCTAATCTCTTCAACCCTGCTGGAACAGTGTCTTCACAAAAAGAAATTCTTGGATCATCTCTTCTTATTTTCCTAGAAAATGTATAAACATGTTTTAAATGTCTTTGGCTACAGTTACAACAACATAGAGAAAAATAAACAATACAGTTTATCTGACTAGATATGCATCTGAGAAGAAYTGAATATCCTGGAAGTTATACTTAACTGCCTATTCAAGACAAGCTACTGTTATTTTTGTTGTATGTTGAGCAGCATCAGTATTCTTTATACTAGTTTAGCTACAGTGCCAGGTACAAAGTCATTAATGGTGAAGGGATTACTTCGAAGGAGTTTTTCATAATGTTTWATATGAGTCTTGCCATGATTTTCATATTTGAAAGTGTGTATTATGAAGGCTTTAATTATTTCAGCCTTTTAAAGGGAATGAATGCAATAACTTAATTAAAAGAATGGTATACKACATTACTTATGCTTTTGTTATATAGCCATCTGGTTATGGCAAAATATAGACATTTGTGTGAAACTTTCTTTTTCTTTCTGCGAGGAATGAGTGTGTATTTGAGGTAATTTGATGTTTTTCAGGTACCATTTTCTTTCTTCTAAAAAGGAAAATCCTTTTGAAATAGAATTTGGTACAAGGGCACAGGTTTTCTATACCCATGAGATTAATGAAAATAAGCATGCTTTCCATAACTTTGTTTTTCACAGTCACATTTGTTGTATATAAAATTCAGTCAATCTTTTGACAACTGTGTGTTCCTATTTRTTTACAGGCTGTACATCTGGCCCAGGCAAGTTTCCAGATTGAGGCCTTTGGCTCTAAATTAATCCTTGACCTCACATTGAATAAGTAAGTGCATGATTTGAGGCTTCTTTCATTCCTGCTCTTCTTATCTTACGGTACAAAGTTAAGGCATGCAATAGTCCAAGATCTGTTGAAAAAAGATGCTGTTATCCAARTTTATTAATACAAAATAACATTTMACATTTTTTTATGTGAGGTAACAGTAACCCTTGCTGACACCCATGAAATAGATACCCTTAAAGTTTTATTATTCATGATAAAATAAATTATGATAGAGAAATTCTAGTACTGGTAGTGTTTGCAAAGTGTGGATTTTCTTGTGCTTTTTTTTAAATAATTGATGAATTGTCATGAGATGTAGTTGCTCAAATCAGTGTGTAGTAGTACTGTAAATACTTGCATGAATGGTTCATCTTTAATTGATCTGGACAACGTGCTATTTTCACTATAATTATGAAGTTCCTAATGAGATGGGAATCCTAATGGTTTGGCTGTACTGGAAGCTGGAGTATGTTTGCCTGTAAAACAGACCATTTTACATAATTGTCAGGTCCAGAAGAATTGGCTTGTGATACAAGGCAGTGGTGGTTTAGTTGTTTATATCCCACATGCTTTTATATCACTGCTGGAGATAGAGAACTATGTGATTTTCTAAAAAAATCATAATGAAGTTTTTTTTGCCACTGGAAGTTTAAGAATAAGGTAGAAGTACAAAATGCATAAAAAATACCAGACAGGTAAAATTATCTATGGTAATGCTCAAAAGTGCATTGAGACTTTCAGCATGCTTAAAAAAGGAGAAGCTAATTGCATTTACAGAATTTACAGAATTTACAGAAACAATTGCATACTGATTTTAAAAAACGTTCCTCTGGTCTTGAGGTTTATATRAGGTCTTAACTGTCATGTATTGGAAGTTTTATTAGGGATAAAGATGCACATTTATTGAATGTAATAGCTGTTCAAATCAGGCTATGGCTTTATGAAACTTGCGGAACTTGCATTTGCTTMTTTTGCTTCTTTGCTGCTAATTATCAAATATTTTGCTGTAAAGGTGAACTGGAAACATTTTCCTTCATCCATGTGTAATTTTGAAGTTAGGTTGCTCTTGCATTTTCATCTTTCAAAATGCTATGTGAAATCTTGAGTGTCTGGCAAAAGATGATTTAGTGTGAAGGCTAGGAATGCCACACAGAACTGAAGGACAAAGACAGCTTGAAGCTAATTGGGTTTTCTCTAGGCTCTGGAAGAGTTAGAGTGTAGTGCAAGGCTGTGTTGTTTTATGATGGTTGGACCTATGCATAATAAGTCCTGTGGACAATCATGACATACTTGTGAAGAGAACCTATATTTAGTGCCCTCCAAGATACAGGGAATTTCTCCTCTTGGTCTACTTTCCACTGCTTCTGTCTGCACATCCAGCCAGTGAGAGTGAGCTTATATTGCCAAAATGGCACTCCATGTCGGGTTATGGCTGTTCACACAGATTGTCACAAAAAAACCTTGCCTTTACTAGAACCACGTAGTTCTGGTTCATGCTGACAGTGCTTAAGTGAATAAGAAGACAAACAGACTCATCAAGTTTTTCTACAGCTGATGAGAATTGAAAGTTTGATGGTGAAAGGTACACCAACCCTCTCCTGATTCRCAGGCAGGCCAACGTTCATTGACACAATTGTTTACACAGGCTGTAAGTTCAGCCAATATTGATGCCCAGGCTTGAGGTCTCTTATTTGATCACTGTCTTAGCCTGTCTTTCCAGATGCAGATCTCCCTATAGTTGTTGACTGACTCTCAAGCTTTCTTGCTAATCACACCTATGCAGAATAGAGAACAAAGTCACAAATGGAATRTTATAAGTAGGACTTAACATGGGACACACTGCAGTGAGTAGAAGCAGGGCTATGCCAAACAAGCCTGCTGTCTTGCAGCTTCCACTAGTGACTCCTTTTTATGCCCCTTCCWCTCCATTTTCTGATACTTGTTCTGTCCTGGTTCACCTTTCCTACCTTTCACACATTCCCTGGATGTTCCATAAAAATGATTGCACAAATTCATAAGTCTGGGCAGACATCCTGAGATAAGTTTGTTCCTTCCTGGGAGACAAATAGTCTTGTTTACCATTKCTTATCTGTTCTAAAGTTCTGGCTGAACCTCTCCAAGACCAGGTTCAAGTGGCTTCTTTCTGTGGCCCATTGGTTAGTGGCCCAACTGAGATAATAATGAAAACCAGAACTCTTATCTCTTGTTCATTAGGATTGRGTTTCATTGCATTTCATTGCTTTTCCTGTCCATGTCTGATGCTGAATGGCTATTATCCAAGTAACTTCACAAACCTATGACATTCACCATATCCTTGCAATGTTACCCATTGTCCAGTATTGCTTTTTTAAAACAACAAATGGATCATAAAGTAAATGTACGGATTTTTTTTCTAGATGTGGCTGCTTTCTCAGCAATCAGGAAATGCAGTGCCTGTCACTTCAAAAAGAGAGAGGGAGCTTACTTTTTATGCACCTTAGATGAAAGAAGTTTGCTCTTGTGGGATCGGGAATGTTCTTACTCCCTATATGTAAGGTGCAGAGTGTTCAGATGCCTTACTGATATCCGTTCTGCTTGCCTCTTTAAACATTAGGYTTTCTGCTAGCTTCCTTAGTAGTTTTTGACTCATAAACATTTGGCTCTTTATCTGGTTCTGCTCCAGAAAATGGCTTCACAAACCTGTCCTTCTTTTTGACTGGGCATAATACTCTGAAACTGCAAGTCATAAAATTTGTAAATTGTAAATACCTGTAGACAATTATTTGAAAAAGACTATTCTGGTGTTTCAGTTATGTTTATGTGTTCAGCAAAAAGCAGCATTTTGCAACTATGTTGGGTTGCAATGCTGCTAATGTCTAGTCAGAAGCAAAGGCAGAACAACCAGGCCAGACTTGAGCTGTTATGTGCTATTGACCAAAATAATCCAATTGTGTGTGTAAGATAAATCCAAGATCCAGGAATGAWGAATATATATTTGGGTCAGTTGCTCTAAGGTGAGTTAATGCCACCTACACTGTATGTTTTCTGTGCATTTTGGTTTTGTTCCTGTGGGTTTTTTTGAATGTTCTACAAGTAATTAAAGCTAAAATTGAGTACATACAATTGTTACATACAAACAGTTCTAGTTTTAGGTTTTCTTTACCTCTGTTGGAATCTGTGTGATTGCCTAGCCTATCTTCTTTGTTGCAGATGCTTTTTTTTTTTTCTCAGCAAATATTATAACTCAATGGTGAAGAAAATTGGATATTCAATTTCATTAATAACTACAGAGATTTTGTAAGATGAAGAGGTGGCACTCTGAAGGTTTATGGAACATGTTACTAGAAAATCTTACGTTGCTTTCCATCTTGCCATGGTGCAATGGCAGAAAGAGCTTGAAGGAAATATAAGYCCCTCAAGCCCCTGAATCCAGTGTGCAGAGACAATTAACATGTAAGATTTGTATGGAGTTTGAATGGGTAACCARCTTTGCAGCTGCACAARGTCTAARCCAGATGAAGTATAATTTATTATRCTWAAGGTGATTTTTGGTAGCTTTTTCTGACAAGAGGACTCAGGGAAAATGAGAAATTTTGAACTCCTTTTGCAAGGTGGGTTTCTCTGAAATTTTAGACATCTTGCCCTTGCTACACTTAAATGTTGGCCCAGTTTCAGGCTGTCAGGGTGATGCCAGTTATGACACTGCATAATGATTACAGATGTGTTGATTGTGGAAATAATTTGATGCAAAAAGTAATAGTTTTTCTAAGCCATAATGGATTAAATAATGTTTTTAGTTAATACTCTTAGTATGAAAATGGAAGATTTTAGGGCACTAATGGGTTGACAGTCCCATTTGAAAAGTTTAGCTTATAATTCAGCTATGATCRTCTGCCCAAACTCATTAAATTCCCTGTGCAATAATGCGAGTAACGTGTGGCATTGTCATAAAACACCATTTATATGAAAAGCCTTTAAAAGTGTTCACTTTCTGAAATAAGTTCACTTTTGCCCTCAAACAATAGTGTTGTAACATTGGGTAATCAATGCTCCTAGTATATCTGACCAGTTTCTTATTTTCTTATTGATGCATTATTTACACAAACAAATGTTTGCAAGGTGCTAGCAAATTATTTTTTAATGATCTCATTTCCAGCATCATGTAAAAGGCTTTTAACTTGCTGTTCTGCTGAAAGACAAGAATTTTTACAGGTAACTCTTAATGGCCTGTTTATAGGTAGCAGGTTTTATGWTCTGGTGTAGTACTCAAATACATTAAAGAGCAATGCTACCAAAAGCAGTGAATTAAAAATGTTTACTTGCTGCTATTTTAGTGAGGAGGGAAGCTGGCTGTATTTTGTGGCAGTTTGCAGCCATGGTCTAGTACCAGTCTCTAAATAAATGTCCCCACCAGCATAGGGGGCTGAAGCCAAACTGGAACCTTCGCCCACCAACACTGTAGGGGCTGAGAGGCAATTAGTTAACTGAGCTGGACAGAAGCAGAAAGTAAAACCCAAAGGCAAAAATTTCTCTCCCTTCCTACTGATAACTTGCCCCAAAATTTAGTATTGTGGCGGAGGGGACAAAAAAAATCGCCAAAATCAGTCTATATTTTTTAGCTTTTCCTACTTTTACCTGTAGAAGTCCATCTTTCCAAGAAACTGTTTCCAGGAAARTGAATTTCTTTCAATGAAGATATTGTGTAAAAAATATTTGGCATCTTTGACATGAACTGACAAAAATCCAACCCCACCACATTTGACCGTGACATGACTTAAAGATTTGAGACATTAATATATGATGACTACTGTGGAAAGTCAGTTTCTTTTGTGACATGCAGCCAACATTATAGCAAATTTTATCTAAAAGTTTAAGCTTTATAATTAGTGTTTACTCTTTGTGGTGTGTCTTTCAGTAGGACTGAATTAACTTGAGAATGGTCCCGGAGGAAGTTACAATGTTAGCCTAATTTAAAAAACAGTCAGTAACTATTTGATTCTTAGGGTTCTTTTTTTCAGAATTAT